AGCTCACAGCTGAGAACAGGATTACACTTTTTTTTTTAAAAACACTGCTATCTATATTTTTGCTTTTTCTTATTGCAGAGGAAGGGAACTTTAACATTATTAGAGGGAGTTTCTGTAAGGTTTCTAGGTGTGTGATGCCAAGCAGTTGGCAGTTTAGAGACACGCCCCTGCTGTTGCAACAGTGGCAGGCAGACAGAGGGAGAGACAGACTAGGCCTGACATATGCTGGCTTAGAGGAGATGAGTGCTCTGCACTGAACCCCAGATTTCTGGTGTTGTATGCAGTTGTGTAGCTGGAAGGCTCTTCTGTGAGGATCGCTAGGCACTGTGCTGGGTATTTTTCAGCTTGATTTCGACTAAGCAAAGCAGCTTATGTAAGATTTTGGGTCCTTGGTGAGATCAAGCAAAAAACACCCAAGGCTTTTTAAAGCTTATGTTGATAAATGTATTGCTGAATAGTAGCATATAATGTAGAACTTGAGCATCAGCACTACATGCATTTGCTTCTATCAATCTCTGTTGGGCCAGTTTCACTGAGGGCCGACACTGGAATAACAGAGGTTTTTTTCTCAGTTAGGCAAATTGATCAGGGCTGTAAAAAATAAAGATCTGTGTGAAAATGAAAGAACTGTATCCACCACCATGGCTAAGTTTAAAGCATGTGTCTTGTGCCTCCAAGAAGCTTTTATACTGTATAACTGCCATAAGACAATTTTAGTTAGACCATGAATGAAGCATTTCAAATAGTAAAGTGAGATCAGTGCCAGAGGTCCCAAGGGAATGGAAAGTGTTTAAAAGGTTTTGTGCAATAGAGAGACAGACTTTAGGAAATTTACAGCTACAGTCAGCGGTAAGAACTGGGCTCGAAATTTAGTTTGACCACCATTATTATCTTGGAACTCCTGAGACTATCTCAGAACCATTTTCTAAAGTATGAACAAATTTCTTTGTTATAGCGGCTGGGTCAGGTTTGTCTCCCAGTGAAAAATATTTTCAGTCTGTGACTAGTTTTTACCATTTCACTTATTTTTGTCCAAATAGGTATGAACACGTGCTTTAATGAAGAGCTATAAAGGCCTCCTGTTACCAGGTAATCTTGTATTTCACAAGCTTGTGTTAGCAGGTAATGTATATTGGATCCCTTGGATGGATGGATGCTTGTGTGGTATGAATGTGATACTGTAAGCCTTAGAGGAGTCCCCACTTGGCAGAAAGAAACTGTGATTTCTTAAAGTTTAAAATTAGTGGTAATTTAACAGGTCACCCACAAAACCTCCTGAAAACCCCCAATGGTAGAAGGTTGCATCAGTGTCAAATTACTGTCATGAGGGCGACAATTGACTACAAGTGCCATCTTTTTGACTTATCCAGCATACTGTAAAATTATTACTCAACACAGCCACATATCCTTCAACAACTTTATGTAAGCAAACCATTTTTGGTATCTCATTTCCCCCCATTTCCAATCATGTAGTTCTGTCATTTCAGCTTATATCCAAACATCCTGTCGCCTCACTTCTGGTGAGATTATCTATCCACTTTTAATCTCTAGAACCCATGATGTGAAATATTTTGAGGGGAATTTGTTTCTTAACCGCGCTGTGGAAAGAGCGTCAAACTCACTGAGATGTAGACTGATCCAACACTTCCATGAACTTGGAATGTGTATAATTAATATATAAAATGACAAAAGTAGTTGTTTAGCTAAAACTATTTTCATCTCTTGTATATCATATCTATAGTGAGGATGAATATAATGCCACATTTTCATTA